CAGACAGGAACAACATTTCACCTTCCTGTTTTCCTCAGTAAAATATCTGAGATGAGACGAGGTAGAGTACCTAAGCAGATTTCATGGTGAGACTCTATTAAATCCATTTTTAAAAGATTAAAAAAAAGTAAAGCTCTTTAAAAGAGAAACAAAATTACGCAGGTACAGGAATCAAAACAAGTATCCTATCAAATGTACCTAATACAAAATCTGAGCAGATTTAACTGAAATGTACACAGCAGATCTCTCTGCTTCGTTAATGCACTGGAGATGTGTACAGCTTCCTTTATTCAAAGAGCCCACAATGGAGTTCCCACCCTGCACAAAGGGCACATTTAACAGTTAAGAGACCAGATGCAGCTCCAGGGTCTAATGGAAGATGCTGAAAACAGCCATAGCCTATAGCTTCACTCCAGAGCGTAAGCCAATAAATTTCTGTTAAACCAGCCACAATCAGCAAAACGACTCACACAACTTTCCTTCAGTTTCTCTCACTCTTCCTCTTTCTCTAAGGTCTGAACAGCATTTACTATATCAGAATCCAGAAATTTACCATGTGGTCCGGTTAAAATATCTAACTTTTATGACTATTTATCATTCATCAGCAGCATAAGCCTGGTTTTTAAAATATAATCATGAAAAAATACAACTTGCTAAGTGCCTCTGTCTTAAAAAATGAAATTTTAAGACTATATTAATCTAATTCAACTTGTCTGGGCACACAGCATTTAAAGAATAAAGTGAAATTAAACCAAGAAAACATAGGGAAAAAAACTCCAATGAAAACACTGAGATGTATTATTATCTTAAAAAATATACATACTCAAACTGATCAAAGAGGAGATAGAAAAGTTTTTGTTTTTTTTTTTAATTAAAAAAAAAATAAAACCTGAGCTTTCAAAGCAATCTGAAAAATCAGCTGACCCTCACCCAGCCAATGTGAATACAGCTGATCACTGTTTGAATCAGTGGCTGAGTTTGGCAGCCCTGACCAGACATTCTCATTAGCATCTGCTGCAGGAAACTCCGAGAGAGGGGGATGGGTTTCTGGCCCATAGGAGAACCCACGTGATGGTCATGTGGTGTGAAAAGCTGGTTACAGCCTCTTGGAATGCAAGACACACTTAATTTTGGCAAAATGTTGTTTTCTGGTTCAAAAGAAAAACGGCATAACAGGGTGTTTGGATATCTCCAAGTAAATGATTCTGACAGACATGGAAAGGCAGAACTGAGACTCTTGGAGGTGGCAGAAACACAGTTCCTTGAGCCTTGGGGCTTTAAGGTGTCAAATAGGAGACAAATCATTTAATGACAATATTCAAATTACTGAAGCGGAAACAAGCTCAAGCATAAGCCCAGTAAAAATTCCTATTTTTGTTACATTTAGAATATTTAAGAAAAAATATAAAAACACATAATATGAATAAACAAGGCTTTAAAAAAAAAAATCAACAAAGTACTCATGACTCTGAATTCTGCATGTCTTACCAAAGCAAACAAACGAAATCACAAATGAGTGCTTCATTCTTTTGGTAGTTAAAATGAGATCTAATTAATAATTTACACTTGTACAATATTATATAGTTTACAAATATATATTTCCAGCCCTGGACTCTGGATCTGAACTTTCAAGATGTCTCTTCCCACTTTAAGGCCCCATGCACACCTCAAAAATCAGTCTTTCAAGTATGATCTGCATCCTCCCCTCCCCTGCCCCCAACACATGCCCTGCTCCTCTTGCCATGCTCTCCCGTCTATGCACTCCATTCAAGTCAAAGACCTGGTCATCATTCTTGAATCATCCCTTACTCACCCTACCTCCTCATACCACCAGTTTGCCTCCTAAACACTTCTGAAATCCAACCACTTCTTTCCATAGCTACTGCCACTTCCATAGTTCAGGCCACCATCCCCATGCTTAGTAATAAGAGTTTGGGCTTGGGCTGTGGACTTGCTCTGCAATGGGTGGACTTGGACAAGTTACTCATCTTCAAATTCCTTAGTCTCCTGACCTATAAAATGGGGATAACAACGCCCACATCACAGAATTGTTGAGTAATTTAAATGCGATAATCAATGTAAAAGCCTCTGAAACAGTGCCAACCTAGAAGCTATTAAGTATTTCATAAATCACAATTATCACAACCATCCTCCTTATCAGTGCCCAGTGCAAATCCTCTGGGTTAGTGACTCTCCTCTTCTAGCTCCCCTAACACTCTTTGGTAATTGGCTGTCTGTCTCCCAATTCAACTACAAACAACCTGCTGGCAGGGACTGAGTCTTTCTATTTCTCCAATCTCCAGGCGCCTAACCTATAGCTGGCACTCAAATATGGGTTACATAAATGCTTAATTCCATTCAAGCATTTATTCACTGTCTACTGTGTTTCATGAAGAGTCTTCCTTACACAGTTTAAAATGCATGAATCCCATTGTACAGTCCATCCTATTCTTTATAATAAATCTCATCCTATTATAGTAATCCTAATAAAAGGAGCACTGGTGGTACACTAGTTAAGCATTCAGCTACTAAGCGGAAGGTTGGTGGTTGGAACCCACCAGCCAATCCATGTGAGAAAAGACCTGGTGAACTGCTCCCGTAAAGATTACAGCCTAGGAAACCCTATGGAGCAGTTCTGCTGTCATACAGGGTGGCTATGAGTTAAAATTAACTCGATCGCACACAACAACAATCCTAACAATAGTCATGACAGGAACACTTTCTTGAAAATATTTTTCCTACCTTTCAAAACCATCTTTCTTATTCTTCTCAAATAGTTTGTAATGATTATTGACTATATTTCTAAGTTGTCTCTCATAAAGGTTATTTGTGAACAATTATGTATATACCTACACTAAATTAAGTAAGGTACTTCCACGAAAGTACCTTTTATCAATTCATTTAGCATCAATAAAAATAAGTGTTTGAACTTAGTTTCTCTCTTCTGGATAGCTACGCAGTCCATTCACTTATCTCTTTGGTCTTATTCAAATGTCATCTTCTCAACAGGCTATATCCTATTTAGACTGCCAGTCCCCATCACCCTTCCTAGGTTTATTTTTCTCCATAGAATTGATCAACAGCTGACACACTACATGCTGTTGTTAGCTACTGTCGAGTCAGCCCCCGATTCATGGCGAGCTCATGCACAATGGAATGAAACCCTTGCCTGGTCCTGCATCATCCCCATCATCATTGTGGATAGAACCAAACACACTATATACTTTATATATTTATCTTGTTCATTGTCTATCTCCCCTCACAAAAAATGTAAGCTCCACAGGACAAGAATTTTTGTTTACTGACCTATCCCCAGAACTTACAACCGTGCCTCACATACAGTCATTCAACCATCTGTTATCTGTTGGACAAATAACCCATTGTCATCAAGTCGATTCAGACTCACAGCAACCCTACAGGACAGAATTGCCCCATAGTGTTTCCAAGGCTGTAAATCTTTATGGAAGCAGACTGCCACATCCTTCTTCTGTGGAGTGGCTGGTGGTTTGTACTGCTGACCTTTCGATTAGTAGCTGAGTGCTTTAACCATTGTGCCACCAAGTCTCCTTTGGATAAATAAATGAGTGATTAATACAACAATGATGATAATAAATGATTATACATGAGTATTAAGAGCTATATACTAAATATAGTATTTCTTTGATACCATAATGAGAAAAGGAAACATATTAACATGTACAGATTTAAGTTAGCAAGGGATCAATAATGAGAATTATCAGTTGCCCTATTTTGATGTGTGTCATGGATTGAACTGTGTCCCCCCTAACATATGTGTGAACTTGATTAGGCCACGATTCCCAGTATTGTGCAACTGTCCTCCATTTTTCTGATCTGATGTAATAATCCTCCATTTTGTGGTGTTATGTAACTATTCTCCATTTTAAATCCTAAAACCTCTATGAAGCTGGATTAGGGTAGGGTGTATTTTGAGTCACACTGCCTTATTCAAGTCACACTCTTACTCAAGTCACCACCTTACTTGAGTCACACCTTTTGTCTTAGAAGAGATAAAAAGAGAGAAAAGTAAGCAGAGAGAGGAGGGACCTCATGACTACCATGAAAGAAGAGCTGGGAGCAAAGCACATCCGTTAGACCCGGGGTCCCTGTGCTGAGAACCTCCTAGACCCAGGGTAAGACTGATGCCAAGACACTTGAAGACCTCCAAGGAATGCCAGGCCCACAGATGTTAAAAGGAGATGAGGACCTTCCTCCCAAAGCCAACAGAGAGAGAAAGCCTTCCCCCAGAGCTGGCGCCTTGAATTCGCACTTCTAGTCTCCTAAACTGTGAGAGAAAAATTTCTGTTTGTTAAAGCCATCCACCTGTGGTATTTCTGTTATAGCAGCACTAGATAACTAAGACAACATGTAACAAAATTGATTTTATTTTTAGCTAACTCACAAGTGTTCTCTTAGGAAGAGACACATATGGTCACTTCTTGATCTTAAAACAGTTCACTTTTGCTACTCAGACATTTGTCTTCCTTGGTTTTCCAAGCCAGAGATATTTGTTCCTCAAAACAAAGAAGCCACCCAATAGTTTCAGAGCTGTGACTCAAGTCTTTTCAGGGAAGCACTTGAAAAAACATCTCTCCCTCCCACATTGACATCTAAGACTGCCCATTTATGAGAAAGACAAAGAACATGTCTCCAGTACTGAACCCACTCATTTACAAGTAGAAAGAGGAGATGCAAATGTTTCCCTTTGGAGTTGAATTAAAAAAAAAAATTACAAGCAGTTATGTGGTCCCTCTCTACTGGTCCTAGTTACAGGAAAATTATTCTCTTTCTTAAGCAATGAAAACAGACGAGCCTTAGTTTTTTGAGGTGAACAGAAATGAGAAAAAAAAAATTCTGATTTTATTTCAAAATTTTAGATGGTGTTTTTCTGACTCAAATTTCTCAACCTCCTGAGAGAAATTCAAGATGAGGGCAGAGGGCCTCTACTCTGCTCCTCTCCAGGTGAGGGGGCAGCGGCATACCTGGGCTCCATAGACGCGCTGCATTGCCTGGAGCAGCTGGTTGGTATAATCTGTGAGGGTTCCAGCATCTTCTTCAAATACACTCAGTAAAGAGCGAGTCTGCGACAAAAGAAGAGGTCAATTTTATTTCTAAACAGAAAAGTTACAAAGGAGGTAGAAAACACACACACATAAGTTGAAATGGGGAGGGAAGGTGCTTGTTAGTTCTCTGGCTTTATTATTGATAATACCAGTGCGTGCAGATTCCTGGATCTTTAATTTAGAACTCCTTTTCTAATCCTTTATAGACTATATAGCACAGGAGCAGTTGAATACAATCAGACTATCAGAGACAGAGTAGGAAAAACAATTTTTAAAAGATTAAGATGGAAGGGCTATTATCTGTCCCAGTTAGCCCCTTTCTAAGCACCAATATAAAGTCCATCCAATAACAAAGGTATAAAAAGGGAAGCCTCTCCCTTCAAGTCCATAAACTGAACATGAGTCAGACCCATCTGTGCACCTGGGGTGTGGTCAGGACTCCAGCTCTGCTGGAGAATAATCATCCCAGCAGTTAACCATCTGTCTGCTTTTCTGCAATCTTGAACATCTTGCAGTAATGTGTCATTCTTTCCACTTAAGATACTACAGTCAATTTCCATCTTTTCTGTCATATTTTATGCAACTAATTTTTAACCTCGTGCAGGAAATGTCATGAACCCTGGACTCACCAGCAACAGCTCTGGGCAGAAGACTTGAACAGCAACTTAACAAGTATGCTAGCTCGGTTCCTTCAGGAAGACTACTCAATGCTCCGAGAGCAGCTGAGCAACATCCTTAGAGGAAAGGTATTTGCTGTTGTTTTCGTGCAGTGTCTGGCACACACTAAACACTCCAGAAGTGTTTATATATCAGACGGTATATGAAGAGCTATCAAGGTGTCACATAAGAGACCATATCTACTCAAGGGACTTCTATTAATGTGCCCAGCGCATAAACTACTACTTTAGTGATAGTGGGATCTATACTTTAGAAAATAACCCATTAGTCTTAGAATGGAGGGTAAGTTACAGAAATGCCTTTAATGAGATGATATCAAAGCACTTTACAAACAACAATCCAATAAGGCTCATTATTTCCCTGCAATTAAATTTCAATTCCTTCTTTTCCTAACCTACCTGAGATAAGCGAGCAATAAGTGACCCCAAAGCATCCCAAATAAACTGGAATAGGAATTCAGGCATTTGGATGGTTCACTCCCACCACACATGTTCTACCCCTGATTTCCCTCCAAAAACTGAACAAGCCTATTCCGACTTTGCCAGTGTCCTTAAAGGTAAAAATAACTGCTCTGAGATCAGTGGACTTTCTTCAGTACCAATCCTTATCAACAGAAGAACCACAATGCTACAAACGAAGAACAGGTAAATGAATAAGACGACTGTAAGATAATTTTTAAAAAGAGCTCTCAATGAGAGCAAAACATCATACAGCTCATACTGTGTACAATGAGTGAGTTAGAGCAGGGTTCTTCAAATATTCTTATTATAATCCACAGTAAGAAAATACATTTCATATCAAGACCTAAACAAAGGTTTCACCAAGCAATTTTTTTTTTATATTGTATTTCAGATCAAGGCTTACAGAACTAGCTTCTCATTAAATACTTATTACATATATTGGTTAACAACCCCACGACATGTCAACACTCTCCTTTCTTGACCTTGGGTTCCCTATTACCAGGTTTCCTGTCCTCTCTTGCCTTCTAGTCCTTGCCACTGGGCTGGTGTGCCCCTTTAGTTTCATTCTGTCCTATGGGTCTGTCTAATCTTTGGCTAAAAGGTGAACCTCTGGAATGACTTCATCACTGAGCTAAAAGCGTGTCCGGGAGCCATACTCTGAGGGTTTCTCCAGTTTCTGTCAGGCCAATAAGTCTTCACCAAGCAATCTTTATCACACTGATTTTTTTCTATTCTATTCTGTTCTGTCCAATTCAATTTTGTTCTACCCATTTGTAACAAAAATGCTGGTTGTGGGTTTCGTAATTTCACTAATGGATCTCGACTAGTAGGTGAAAAGCACTGTTTTAGAATTCATTATTACAGCTCTTCAAAATATTTAGGAGCCCTGGTGGTATAGTCGCTAAAGCACTCAGCTTCTAATTGAAAGTTTGGTGGTTCAGACCCACCAGCTGCTGTGTGGGAGAAATATTCATTCCTTCATCCCTGCCTTCACCTAACATTTAATGAAACAGCGTACTAGGTACTGAGATTCAAAAGTGACAAGAACCGACTCTATCTTCTCCAGGAACTTATAGTCCACTGAGGCCTCTCAAATGATCTGTAATTATCTTGAGACCATGTCAGTACAAAGCCCAAATCTAGGCTATAACACTAAATTGCAAGGTTAATAAGATTACTGTTGTTGTTGTTAGGTGCTGCTGAGTCAGTTCTGACTCACAGCAACCCAATGTAAACACAACGAAACACTGTCCAATCCTATGCTATCCTCATGATCACTGTTATGCTGGAGCCCACTGTTGCAGCCACCGTGTCAATACATCTCACTGAGGGTCTTCCTCTTTTTGCCCTGACCCTCTATCAAGCATGATGTGCATCTCCAGGGACTGATCCCTCCTGATAACATGTCCAAAGCATGTGAGACGATGTCTTGCCATCCTTGCTTCTAAGAAGCATTCTGGCTGTACTTCTTCCAAGACAGATTTGTTCGTTCTTCTGGCAGTGCACGGTATATTCAATATGCTTCCCAAAACCATAATTCAAAGGCATCAATTCTTCTTCGGTCTTCCTTATTCATTGTCCAGCTTTCATATGCATGTGAGGTGACTGAAAACATCATGGCTTGGTATAAATCTTCACGGTGTTTTCGTCATAAAAATTTACACTAAGTGAAGTCCTCTTTACTTTCAGCAAGCAAGGTTGTGTCATCTGTATATCTCAGGTTGTTAATGAATCTTCCTTCAATCCTGATGCCACGTCCTTCTTCCTATAGTCCAGCTTCTCAGATTATATCTGCTCAGCATACAGATTGAATAAGTATGGTGAAAGGATGCAATCCTGATGCATACTTTTCTTGACTTTAAACCATACAGTATCCCCTCGTTCTGTTCAAATGACTGCCTCTTGGTTTAAAGACAGGTTCTACATGAACACAATTAAGTGCTCTAGAATTTCCATTCTTCGAAATGTTATCCATAATTTGTTATGACCCACACAGTCGAATGCCTTTGCATAGGTCAATAAAACACAGGTAAACATCTTTCTGGTATTCTCTGCTTTCAGCCATGATCCATCTGACATTAGCAGTGATATCCCTTGTCCCACGTCCTCTTCTGAATCTGGCTTGAATTTCTGGCAGTTCATAACATAAAGTGCCAACTAGTGCTTGACATACAGTGACAGCAGGGATGATGCTGATGATGATAATGAACTTTATTGACTGCTTATCATATGCCAGGCACTAAGTGCTTTACATGTATAATTTTATGTTAATACTACAGCAACCTTGTAATTTACATAACTGTTGTCGTCCAGTTGATCCAACTCATAGCGACCCTAAAGGACAGAGTAGAAATGCCCTACAGAGTTTTCAAGGTTGTAAATCTTCATGGAATCAGATCGCCACATCATTTTCTTGCAGAGCACCTGGTGGGTTCAAACCTCCAATGTAAGTGTTTAGCCCCTACGCCACCAGGGCTCCTGTAATCTACATAAACCCAAAACCAAACCCCTTGCTGTCAAATCGATTCTGACTCATAGCAATCCTACAGGACAGAGCAGAACTGCCCCACAGGGTTTCCAAGGCTATAAATCTTTATGGAAGCCGACTGTCACATCTTTCTTCCTCAGGGTGGCTGATGGGTTCCAACCGCTGACCTTTAGGTTAGCAGCCAAGGACTTAACCACTGCACCACCAGGGCTACTTCTTAATGCTACAGAAGCCCACTAATGCTTATTATGATTTTCATATCTTTCTTTGTTATAATTAATATCTAGGGGAATGGGAAGGAAAGGGGGGGGGTGATACAACTGGATTGAGGGTATTTAATTAAAAAAAAAACTACTGATGCCCATTTTGCTGATCCCATTTATTGGTTTTAATACTCTTAGGAATAAAATACAAAGGAAGGTGAAAATTAAGATGAAAAGAGAGGGCTTACACAAATGTCTTCCATAAAGAAGATGTTAAGAAAACTAAAACTACCACTTACTCTGTACTTCCTACGTGCCAGACCCTGTGCTGGGCACTAAACATTTGTTATTTCATTTAATCCTCCACCAACTTTATGAGGTAGATACTGTGTTACATTAATTCATATCACGGATGATGAAATTGAGGTTCATCATGGTTAAGGAACTTGCTCAACCTCCCATGGCTGGGAAGCAGTAGGGCTGGGATGAAAACCCAGGTGTCTGGCATTAAATGCCAGGTTCTGCCACTGCAGGAGGCTGTCTCCATCATCCCAGCAGGGCAAGTCTCAGCAGGGACCACACTCTTTGATTCCCAGCCTACAGTCCTGCCTGGAGGCAAGATGCAGGCTGACTAGAGCAGCTTTCTTCTCAGCCGTCCTATTGTCATAGGCTTACCTGTGATGTCTGCCCAGGAACTACATCACAGGTGTTCTTGCTCTTTATACTTTGGAACAGGTGTACCATGACATCCATTAAAATTGGCAGGAAATCTCCAGTCTTCCCTTTCTAATTTAACTAGGCAGTGATTGCCCATGGAAAAAATATACCTGGCAACCTCTGGTGCTGTTCTAATAGCCACATTCACCGTACCACATCTATTCAAATTTATATTTTGAACAAGAGATCTTGAGACATAAAGAAGAGCATGAGACCAAGGATAAGGAAAAGGTACATTCATTGCTCAAAATCCCACAAAAAAGTAAAAAAAGGCACTGGTGTATATCATTTATACAGGCAGTAACAACAACCATATAGGAGCTACTATGACGTGCAGCCACATAGACACTTTACATATGTTATTTACTCTTCATACAACTCCATTAAGTAGCTACTTTTCTTCTAATTTTTGTCAAAACACGACTTCAGAGAGGTTGAGTAACTCACCTAAGGTAACAGTGGAAGAATCAGGATTTGAACTTCATCCTCTCTCTACTACCATACATTCTCAACAGTATTCCTGGCAAGTAAAACAAAACCAAATGCCCTCTGAATACAGCCTCAGCTCCCTATCAGCCCTCTACTTTAGAGTAAAGAAACTGGGTGTTGCCCAATAAAACAGTCCTAGACATTTTTTTTACTCTAAAGAAGTCTACAATTTTAATAGCTTTAAGAAAAAAATTAAAGTTCTTACACCCATATGGAGCCCTGGTGGTAACAATGGTTAACTGCTCAGCTGCTAACCGAAAGGATGGCAGTTTGAACCCACCCCGGGGCTCCGCAGGAGAAAGACCTCGCAACCTGCTTCCTTAAAGATGACAGCCCTATGGGGCAGTTCAACTCTTGTCACGTGGGATCACTATGAGTCGGAATCGACTCGATGGCACCTGATAACAACAACAACACATCCATAGGATGGTGGAGGAAATGTCTCAGTAGAATCTGGCCTACTGAAAGGAAAAATGTGTTATAAACGAAGAGAACCTTGGGACAAAACCCCTCTACAATGAAGACATAAAATCATCCAGGTTATGTTTTGAAGCATCATGCTTGAGTAAAGAAATGCATACTACAGGCATTTGCCATTGTTTTTATTCTTTACACATTAGATAAAGGGATTGGATTAGATTCCTTCCAGCTCCAAATCTACAAGTCTCCTTGGGAGTAAAAGCTGCATGAGGCACATGCCACATTAAAAAAAAGCTAAATAAATACGAGCTGATAATTATCAAAGACCTTCCTTAAAATTGGTTTCTGTCTGTAAAACAACCTAGAGTTGATTTCTCCTTGGTTATAGGATGATAGCTGAGTCTCAAAAAGCAGTGACAAACTCTCTACATTAGGAGGAACATTAAATACGAATGATACTGCCTCTAAACCTCCTCTTCCACACACAAGCTCAAAGTTACAAACCATGCAGATGTGACAGAATGTTAAGCTTCCAAAGCACCTTAAAGATCCTCTGCTCCATGTCCATTGTTCTGCAAATGAGAACAGTGAGGCAGCACAGGGTGGGGATTAAGTGACTTGCCCCAATCACATGACAAGTTAGTATTAGAGCCAGAGTTAGAAGAACCCAGGTCTCCTGACTTGTTCATCAGTTCTCCTTCTACTTCCTCACAGCTGAGCACATCCTTTCAGCCATTCAGAAATGGTATATATTCATTTAAGTGAGAGCTGAAAATTCGGAATGTGATTTAATAGTGACGATGGCATGGAGAATCAGGTTCTCCATGTATTAGAAAATCAACCTCTCTAACCTGGCTCAGCCATCTCCACGTTTGTCTAGGAAAGCAACGTACCTTTGCATCTCAGGTTCCCCAACTATAAACAGAAATCCTTGTTACAATGATCGTTAAAAATGCCACACTTAATATCTTCAGACTCGACACAACAGATGTGAAGATGGATGAAATGCTTTCTACCAAGGTCTCTGGTCCTCTGATCGATATCCCAGAAGGCTAGAATTGTATAAAAGAGGCCTTTGAAAAGTCAGTCAGACCAGTGGATGTGAATCTGCCAAAGAGGGAGGAAAACTCACGGCTGGTGTACCGTGCCTCACCTCCCCTACACATGGAGGATCACAAAGAAATGGGCACACAACACTAGCACACGGCCCTTTGACTACTTATTCTGAACTGCGGAGATGTAGCCTGTGCATAGGTAATTCCATCAAAAACGAAAAAAATCAAACCCGTTGCTGCTGATTTGATTCTGACTCATAGTGACCCAACAGGACAGAGTAGAATTGCCCCATAGGGTTTCCAAGGAGCAACTGGTGGATTCCAACTGCCGACCTTTTGGTCAAGCAGCCAAGCTCTTGACCACTACGCCACCAGGGCCCCATGTTCATCAAAGGGAGGTGCAATTCACTCAAGAGATAAAGGGAACAGAACCGAAAAAGAGGGCAAACGGTGAAAGGAAAACAGGTTAACCTCATTCTAATTTTTCAGAGTTGAGGCGCTAGGGAATAAAGAGACTTATTTAAATGACCCAAGGATATGGACCAGGAGGATAGATATGTAGCTGGGGAAATGTTAAACGAAGAACAAAAGTTCCCTGGGGAAAGATGCAGACTAACATCATGCCGCACTTTTTCGTTACATTTACATACCAGCATTCATCTGTAGAGCTCAAAGGACTTGATTTATATCTCAAGTGTGCTAATGAAGCTCCCCTCTGTGACAAATGGGGCGGGTACTGTAATCTTCTCTTCACAAATGGGAAAACAGTCCCAAAGGGAGCCTGGTACCGCTGGGAAAGACATGCAGGTTCTCTGCTTCCCACTGTGGCTTACCACATCAGTAGCAGCAGTAATAATAATAAGATTGTCTCCTTACTGTGAATCAGACGTTGTCTACTAATAGCTTTACAGGCATTTTCTTATTCAATACTCCTACCAACCCCAGGAGGCAGGTACAGTCATTACCCCTACTTACAGATGAGAAAACAGAGGCACAAAAAGTTAAGATATTTGCCTTAACTCAGCTAGTACGTGCTGCAGCCAGGGTTTGGACCCGGCAGCCTCAATTTAGGCTTATTTGGGAAGGGGTCGTGACACAATGACTCACGCCGCTGGAGGTTTTCCCGGGTTCTCCAGCTCTGCCTCGGGGGTGCCCCCTCCCGGATGCAGGGCCAGGCCGGCCCCCTCCTCAACCCCGAAGAACCCCGGAGGGAGGCGCCCCGCGGGGTGCCGGGGTGGGGGCGCAGCCTCAGCCACAGGCTGGAGGGGCCTCCTCGGCCTCACCCCTTGAGGGCGAAGGAGGCCACAGCGGCGGAAGGTACCTGGGGGCTGTCCTGCAATGCCTCCTCTAGCAGGAGCTTGTCCACAGCAGGCATGATGCTGCAAGGCCTGGCCGACGGACGGAGAGCGGGAGACACTGCCTTCGAGGGTGCTCCGGACTTCGGCGACGAGGCAGACGCTCCGTGCCCGCGGCAGCCCCGCCCGCGCCCACGCCTGGCCAGTGTCCTCCCTCCGCCCGCCTGCCGGCCCTCCCAGCCCAGCCCTCAGCCGAGCCGGATCAACAGGAAGTGCGGCAACCGAGCGGCCGAACACCGGAAGTGTGGCTGTTCCGTTTCCTCCCGCGTCCGAGCCTTGGTGGGAATCCGCGGACCCCCGGGGCCATCCTCGTTGCACGGTGGACCCCTGAAGTGTTAGCCCACTTCAGTAACAGGCACCCCTCCCCCACATCGAGTACTTTTATGCCAGTCAATGCATATACATTCCAAGAAAGGTAACTCTAGGATAAAAAGGTAAGGTTTTATCTATTTGTGGCTGCTCAGAAGGACTTTTCAATCAAAGGAGACAGCGAAAAGATTTTGATGTCCTTCTGGCCACGTTTTTAATGTAAGAGAAACCTTAAACTTCACACACCACTTTCTCCAGACAAATCTCAATGCCTTGAAACAGCTCAGAGAGCAAAGAGGTCACCTTGTTGTAGAAAAAACCTGGATAACAATTATGCGTGATATACAGAAATAAGCATTTTGGAAGACGGAGCTGTTTGATTTGGGCAATATAACTAGGTCTTGTCATTTTCAGAAATTTTATAATCAAATGTTTAGGATTGGAAGGGGTGGAGAATCTACCCTAGTGCTGTCATTTAGAGGTAACGAAATGGGACCCAGAGAATTAAGTGATTTGCTTAGGGTCAAACAGTTAATGAAAGTTAGAGGAAGAAAAGAAGGAAGGGAAGGAGAGCAATGAGGAAGACAATGGAACTTGATGTGTTTTTATATCAAAGGCAAGGATTTCAGAAGTTCCTTCTTTAGGAATCAATAAGATTTGTCCAGAGTCCCTTGATGGTGCAAACGGTTAAGTGCTCAGCTGCTGACTGAAAGGTTGGCAGTTTGAGTCCACCCAGAAACACAGCAGAAGAAAGGCCAAAACAGTAGCCATTGGAAACCCTATGGAGCTTAGTTCTACTCTAACAACATGAAGTTAGCATGAGGTGGAATGGACTCGATGGCAATTAGTTTGGGTTGTTTGTTTTTCTTGGTAAGATTTGTCCAATAGGACATGTGTCACCAAAATCAGTAGTAAGGATATGGTCAGTTATACAAATTCTATGTTCTGCAGAAACTTCTAGGTATATTAAGGAATAATCTGTAAGTCTGATCACAGGTGGCCCAGAAAACTCCAAAGCCATTACTCCCAGTCTGCTCGGGCCATTCAAAAGTGATTGCAGCACTACATCAACAGGGAACTGCCATAAATTCAAGCCAGATTCAGAAGAGGATGTGGAACCAGGGATATCATTGCTGATGTCAGATGGATCCTGGCTGAATCTGGTATTCTAGCAGAGAATAACAGAAAGGTGTTTACCTATGCTTTATCAACTATGCAGAGGCATTCAACTATGTGGATCATAACAAATTATGGATAACATTGCAAAGAATGGGATTTCCAGAACACTTGATTGTGCTCATGAGGAACCTGTACGTAGGTCAAGAGGCAGTCGTTCGAACAGAACAAGGGGATACTTCGTGGTTTAAAGTCAGGAAAGGTGTGTGTTAGGGTTGTATCCTTTCACCATACTTATTCAGTCTGTGTGCTGATCAAATAATCTGAGAAGCTGGACTATATGAAGAAGAACAGGGCATCAGGGTTGGAGGAAGACTCATTAACAACCTGGGATATACAGATGACACAACCTTGCTTGCTGAAAATCAAAGACCACAGCCTTCAGTGTGGATTACACCTCAACATAAAGGAAACAAAAATCCTCACAACTGGACCAATAAGCAACATCATGATAAACGGAGAAAAGATTGAAGTTGTAAAGGATTTCATTTTACTTGGATCCACAGTCAACACCCATGGAGGCCGCAGTCAAGAAATCAAACAACACATTGCATTGGGCACATCTGCTGCAAAAGATCCCTTTAAAGTGTTAAAAAGCAAAGATGTCACGTTGAAGACTGAGGTGCGCCTGACCCAAGCCGTGGTGTTTTCAATCGCCTCATATGCATGGGAAAGCTGGACAGTGAATAAGGAAGACTGAAGAAGAATTGATGCCTTTGGATTATGGTGTTGGCGAAGAATATATACCATGAACTGTGAAAAGAGTGAACAAATCTGTCTTGGAAGAAGTAGAGCCAGAACGCTCCTTAGAAGCGAGCATGGCGAGACTTCGTCTCACGTACTTTGGATACGTTATCAGGAGGTATCAGTCCCTGGAGAAGGATATTACGTTTGGTAAAGTAGAGGGTCAGCGAAATAGTGGAAGATTCTCAGTGAGATGAATTGAGACAGTGGCTGCAACAATGGGCTCAAGCATAACAGTTGTGAGCATGGCACAGGACTGGGCAGTGTTTCCTTCTGTTGTACGCAGACTCTCTATGAGTCAGAAGTGACTTGATGGCACCTAACAACAACAACAACAGACAGTAGATATCGACCCAACTCTGTAATTTACCTACGGCAACCGTTTCAAAATGACTATGTAGAAAAATAGAGAAGGGAGTATCCTTGGAGAGCTCAGGCCTGTGTTTCAAGCCTCTGAAGTAGCAGCAGCAGCTGCTACTCAAAAAAAAAAAAAAAATTAAAAAATGAATAGCTGTGATGTTTAAGGGTTGACAATATTCAGCAGTGACTCAACAAAATCATCATCATCATCACCATCATCCCAGATATTTTTGAGCACTGAGCCTGTGTCAGGCACTATGTTAAGTGGGCTGCATGCATCAAGGCATTCCATCCTCATCATGGCCCTTGGAGGGAGATAGCCAATATTATCCCTGAGAAGTTAAGTGACTTTACTTGCTCACGGTCACATAACTGGTAAGTGGCAGAGCTGGGACAAGACTCCAAGTTGATTTGTCTCCAAAGCCCTTCAAAGCAACTGAAATGTGTGAGTAAGCACTGGACTCCAAGGATCCCCAATGGCTCAATGGAGAGCTGCAGCCAGGGGGTTCAGCACTCCCTATTGTTTGGTCCTGCACCCCCTCTTACTCTAGGAGAAGGACTATGTGTAAGGTTTCACAAAGTCAGGAGTCATGACACCTTTGGTGACATTGTTTAGTTCAAAGACCTTCAGCAGAGACCTCTCCTTCATTTTCTCAGTAGTTCTGTTGAGTTAAAGAGATGCAGGTTTTATTATTACTTAATCCCATCCTAAAGGAGGAAAAACAGGCGTAGAGTGTTATGAAACTTTCCAGGGTCATACAGGAAATCCTTACTAGGAGCAAATCTCTCTCTAATGGACTACTCAATTTTATGCTACAAAGAAGTTGTGGACCCAGAAGCAGAGCCTGGGCCGTGAGCTTCCTAGTTCCCGATATGTGTAGCCAGGGGTGTGAAGGGGACCTTACAAATATCATGAGGGCAAAAATGTGTATTGAGCTTTTACTGTGTGATGTGCATTACACCATTTATACCTCACACCAGTTCTCTGGGTAGGTACTAGTATTTTCCCCATGTTAGAAAAAAGGAAACAGGTTCAGAGTGGTCGAGAAACTTGCTCAAAATGACACAGCTAGCTGGGAGCAGAGCTAGAATTTGAATTCAGTCAGTCTTATTTCCAACTCATGTTTTCAATCTGGAACAAATTGGCCATGCCCAATATACAAAAGTATTATGTTCTAATTTGTTCGTTTGCTTTCTTAGAATTGGAACATGTTTTCTTACAGAAACAATTTCTAAATGGTAGGACTTCCAGATCAACTTGTAGAGGCCTATTTATGCCTTGGTGTTGAAATTCTACCTATTTGCAGGGAAAATAGCAGAAACAGGCTGTTTCAATGATGGTAATGAAAAATATAAAAGCAAATATACATGAATAAGGAACTTTTTAAACGTTGTAAACATCTTCAATATCACTAGAAGAGGTAAAGGAAGTAAATGGGAATTTTTGTAGAGATTCTGAAATTTTTTTCCAACCAATTTCAAGCACTTTAGAGGTGATTCCTGTTAGCCATTTGCTATGGATTCCTTCTTCCTTGGTCCAGATGCATCAGCAGCACCAATCATATGTTCATTAAAAAGATAAAGGTTATTGTTTTTTAGTTTTACACCAAACAAGAGAGGTGTGTGATATAAAAGAAAGTGCATGAACTCTATAATCGTACAGTGAGGAATTACAAATCAAAGCTCTGCCACACAGAGAAACAATTAAGAAACCTCAGTCCCTCTGTAGCAGGGCTTAACTGAGTTTATAAGCGGAAAGTATTCAATTTTCGGTTCTCTGATAGTTTCTCTGAACAGAGTAGGTTGTGGGACCTAAAGTACCTTGTAGGAGATAGCTTGAGGAATTGGGGTATCTACATAAGAAGGCTAAACTTAAGAAAAGTTAAAGTTTATAAAGAAAAGTGAAAAATGTACAACCAATGTCACAAAAAAATGTGTATTAATTGCTTAATACACATTAATTAACGTGTATTAATGAGAGACTAATTTGCTCTGTAAACTTCCATCTAAAGCACAATTAAAAAAAGAAATCTAAGGAGAAATTAATATGTAAAAAAAAAAATATCTGATTACAGACTTGAAAGAAGTCAGTCTATGACCAAATAGAGAATACTAATGACGACTGAAAGGAGACAGTTATAGATTGAATTGTATCCCCTCAAAAAGTGGAAGTCGTAACCCCTGTACCTGTAATTATGATCTTGTTTGGAAATAGGGGTTTTCTTTTGTTATGTTAATGAGATCATGCCAGAGTGGGGTGGGTCCTAAACCTAATCACTTCTGAGTGGTATCTTATAAAAAGAGCAGAACAGACAGAGACACACGGGGGAAGAGACCATGTGAAGAACCATGTACTAGCAAAGGAACACCAAGAAATGCCAAAGGAACTCCCAGGGCTACCATCAAGGAAGGACCCTTCCCTAGAGCCAATGCTCTAATTTGGACTTCTAGCCGCCAAAACTATGAGACAATAAATTTCTGTTCTTTAAAGACACCCACTTTTTTGGTATGGCAGTACTAAGAAACTAAGGTAGAGGTCCACTAAACTGGA